TTACCTGTTTACAGGTGGTATTCCTCCTCCCTCCATGACTTTGTAAGCTCCTCAAGAGCTGGGCCTTAATTTTATTTCTAGTGCTTCGTACACAGTAGGCACTAGAAAACGTGTGTTGTATTAATTGGGAAGAACCTTCCAGAAATAGGATAAATAGCTAGAACAGCCCCCAAATCATCCTTTTCTGCTGCCTCTAGGCACTGGCCCCCTCTTCCCTTCAGCAATCACCAGCTCTTAATACCAGGGCTTTGCTTCTATAGTGTGCTGGAAACAGAATGCCCCGGCTCTGTGGTCACCTGAGGGTGTGAGGTGGTAAGCTGGTCCAGCTGTTGGCCTCTTGCTTCCTTCCCTGTAAACTGAGACGGTTACTTAAGATGATTTCCAATGTTCAAAATCCCCTGGCTCTAGAGGGCTAACAGTTCTGGGAAGTATTCTTCAAGTTGGTTTCTTCTCCAATAGGGTAAGGTCCTGGAGATTACAAGACTCCTGGATGTTAATGAGTCTTGGACTCGTTTTTCTCAAAACAATCTCTCCTACCCTTCAAGAAGAAAAATGCCCATATGGGCTCAGTGCCACCCAACAGCTCCTAGAGTACTATGAGAAGAGGGAGGTTATACACGTTTTTGGTTTTGTTCCTGCCCTGATTCTATTTGTGTAAGGAACTCCTGGTGTGTAAATTCTCTCAACGATGAAGACTAGCAACTCATCCCAAACACAGTTTTAGAAACTGCCTGGGGAGGCAGCTAGGTGGTACCGTGGATAGAGCACCAGCCCTGAAGTCAGGAGGACCTGAGTTCAAATCTGACCTCAGACCAAACACTTGTCACTTACTAGCTGTGTGACCCTGGGCAAGTCACTTAACCCCAATTGCCTAAAAACAAAAAAAAACAAAAAAGAAGTTGCCTGGGGGGACCAAGAAGTGAAAGGACTTGTTCATGATTGTTTGTTTGGCTGAGGCAGGTCTGGAATCTACTAGTTCTTCCAGATCCCAGTTGATCCTCTATTGTCATGGCTGTATTAACAATGAATAACTGTTCATGTATTAACATTAATAACCTTGCAATTAAATTCAACCAACATTTATTAAATGTCTACCATGTTCAAGGTTCTTAGAGATACAAACAAAAAAAAACCAAAAACATACCAAAGCCAAACTCCCAAATAGTCCATGCAACAGCCTGTGATCTGCTTTAGGGGTGAGAGGGATCCACATTAGAAGATCAAAATTAACCCTCTACTTTAACAGATGCAAACACAGATGCCCAGAAAGAGAGTCTTGCCCCAGGTCATATAGACAATAAGTGGTTGGCAATGAAGGGGGAATTAGACCCCAGGTTTCCTGACTTAAGAATCACAGTGTGTTCATATCTTGAAAGGAACCCAGAATTCCAGCTCCTAGGAGAAAGGGATTTCATTTCTGACTTTGTATATAGCAGGCATTTAAGGAAATGTGGCTATTCAAAGTGTGGCAGAAAAACCAAGTGTCAAAACAGGTTCAAATCTGGTTGTTACAGACTGGCTATCAGATGCTGGATAAAATGCTCAGGTGCCATTAAAAGTGTCCTTTCCTAGCTCCGTGCCTCCCTCATGCCAAAGACCTGGTAGAAAGGGCTAGTAGAGGGGCTGCCCTACAATGGGACCCTTCCCCTCAGTGGGGGCTGGACTTGACACAGCAGGAAAGGACAGACACCACCCCCACCCCTGAATACACATCCAGGAACAGGTTGAGGGAATAGGGAACTGCTGGAGGTTGAACTCTTCAAATAATAGATGAGCCCTTTCCTCAAAGCCTGGGAGAGAAGGGAGCTTAGGACAGGACAGCCTAGGCTCAGAATTATGTTCTAAACTCCCAGATATAGAACAGACAGTTCCCCTTGCTGTCCTCTTCAGACAGTTCCCCTTGCTGTCCTCTTCAGGTTGTGGCAAAGAAGCGGATCCTAAGGCTTCAGTTGTTTCCAGAGGCACCTAGGTATACACAGTTGATAGAATTCTGGACCTGGAGTCAGGAAGACCTGAGCAGATCCACCCCAATACTTATAAGCTATGTGAATCTGTAATTTAAATTAAATCTGCAATTTAATTAAATCTGTAATTGAAATTAAAGTAATTGAATCTCTGCCTGCCTCAGTTTCCTCATTGGTAAAATGAGTTAGGGTTAATATGAGCATAGAATGAGATACCTGTAAAATGCTTTGTAAACCTTAAAAGTACTATGTAAAATGCTATCATTAAAAGAGTCTCAGTCCTCATCCCTTCTCTTCCATACACGTGAAGATTGTGCACCCGACAAGCAGAGGTCATGAGGGAAAAGCTGAAGTTTTAATCTGTGATTTCAATGGCACTCATCTAGCCCCTTGTTGTTTGGAGCTGGAGGCGCCAGGTTCTTGAAGCCATCCATGGCCAGGCCAGGCCAGGCCAGACTCCTAAAGAGTAGGCCTACACTCAGGAACTTGCCTTCTACCAGTATTTTGTTTTCTTCTGTTTCCTCTGGTCCCAATGTACTTTTCACTCCTCAGGGAAAAACCTGAGGGTTTTCCTTGGTGAAGCAGGGAGCAATGGAGACAAAGAAGCCAGCGTCTCCTCTGAGAGGAAAATGACTGACGTCAGTTTTGCTCCCCAGAAAGACCAAAGCTCAGCACTTCATCTCTTCTACATGCCCTGCCATCCCACAATCATCGACTTCAGGAGAGAGGGTGTCTGAGTAGGGGAGTCAAGCAGGAAATAGTGAGGAGCCGAGAGATCAGGCCAAGCCCCACTGAACACCTAGGAAGGGCTGTTTCCACACTTGTTCTTTCTACTCTATACCCCATTAAAAGAAGCAGAAAATTCACAGCTCATTGTGTGTCCTTGCAGGGCTCCCGAGTAGGGCTACTATGACAGTCCAGGTGGGAGGTGGATAAGGAGGGCCTGCAGCAGGGGGGTGGCAGTGCCAGAGGAGAGAAGGAGGCATTTTCAGGAGATGTTGCAAAGGTGAATTCAACAGGCCTTGGCAACTGATTGGATTACAGGGGTTTGGGGGTGGCGAGTGACTTCAAGGAGTCCAGGATGATTCTTAGGTTATGAGTCTGAGGGACTGACGGATACCCTTGACAGTAGCAGGAGAGGTGGAGGGGCAGGGGTTGGGGGTGAAGAGGGTAAGGGAAAGATAACTGTGTTGTGGACATATTGAGTTTAAGATGTCTACTGGACATCCAGTTTGAGAAGCCTGAAAGGTGGCTGGAGATGTGGGACTGGGGCAGGAAAGATACATTTGAGAATCGTTAGCAGAGAGATGGTAATTAAATCCATGGGAGCTGATGAGATCACCAAGCAAAAGAGTATAGAAGACAAAGAAATGAGGGCCCAAGACAGAACCCTGTGGGACACCTATGGTTAAAGGGAGTGGATGAGAATCCAGGCAAGGAGCAGCCTGATAGGTATGAGAAGAACCTGGAGAGAGTAACGTCTGGAAAATCTAGAGAGAAAAAGAGGATCTACTATAGGTCAGGCATGTGCTAAACGATTTCACAAACATCTCATTTGATTCTCACAAAAAGCCTGCGAGGCAGGTGCTATTAATAATTCTCCCCATTTTATAGTTGAGAAAACTGAGGCAAAGGGGTTATGTGACTTGCCAGGAAGTTTCAGAGAAGAGAGTGAGAGAAGAGGAAGTAGAGGTACCTACTGGAGATACTTGTTCAAGGAATTTAGCCACAAAGGGCAGAAGACACAGAACAACAGTTAGTGGGGAAGGAAAGACCAAGGGAGGGTTTTCTGAGGATGGGGAAACATGGGTAGGCAGGAGGGAAGGAGCCAGCAGGCAGAGAGACTGAAAATAAGGGATAGAATGTGGATGATGGAAGGGGCAATCTGTGGGAGGAGAGAGGCCAGAAGGATCACTTGTGCAGACAGAGAGAGAGAGAGAGAGAGAGAGAGAGAGAGTCATGGGAGGTTAGCCTGGGGCAGCAAGTCTTCACCCCTCCAGGTCTTGGTTACCTTATTTTAAAAAAGAGAAAGGCTGGACTGAATGATGTCTAAGGTCCTTATCAGCTCTAAATCTATGAACCACTGATCCTATGTGTGGAAGGTCTGTTTCCAAAGCAGTCATGAAACTAGGCAGGCAGGCTATCTTAAGACAAAGCTAGTGTGGAGAGTGAAAGAAGGAATGTGTCTGGCGTGACTACACATGTATAAGCTATATCGAATTGCTTGCCTTCTGGGGGATGGGAAGGGAGAAAATTTGGAACTCAAAGGTTTAAAAAAAATGAATGTTAAAAATTGTTTTTACATGTAACTGGGGAAAAATAAAATACTAAATTAAAAACAGTATCAATAAAAACTTCATTAAAATAGAAAAAAAGAGAGAAGGGATGACCCTGCTGTCCTCTGCTCTGGTCAGCCTTCCGTCAGGAATGAGTGTACAGGAGAAAGAGGAGAGAGGGAAGGAACCTTCCAACTCAGACTCTTGTTATTCCACTAGACCAGGGATCTTCTTGGTGACATGGACCCCTCTGGCAATCTGGTGAAGCCTATGGTCCTCCCCTCCCCACCTCTCAAAAACACTATTTTAAAATGCATAAAACATATATAAAATCACAAAGGACACCAATTATACTGAAATACAGGTTAGACGGACACCCCGCCCCCCCAAACTGGGGCATTTCACTCTCCCAGCCTCCCAGAAGGGCTCTTGTCCAGTCCCAGGCCCCAGGTTCCCCACTTGTTGCCAGGCACATCTCCTGCCCCTCAATTCCTGAGGCTTTAGGAAAGTCACTGTATTTTAAGTGAATGAGGCCATTTTTCTACATTTATTCACTTTCAAAGCTCCACACCCTACGGCCTCTGACCTGGTCCAGGACTGCTGTGCCCTGACAGGGTGGAAAATGCTGGTGTCTGGTCAGTGGCTCAGAGGACTAGCCACAAGAGAGGCCACACTCTACCATCCCGAATCCAACTGAAGCCTCTCTGGAACGCCCTTTCCACCTCCCTCCCTAGAGACCCCAGTCCAGAACAGGCTCAAGCACCTCAAATCTCAGCCTTTATTTTGGTTACAGATTCACACACATTCAGGGGCCTTTTAGATCTTATTGAAAGCAGCGATGTCAACGCTCTGCACCTGCAAATGGGAGGACAGAGGGAACAAATTAGAACGATGACCAATGAACCGCTTGCAATCTTGTACTCTCATTCACCCTTCTTATCCACCACTCTTTTATCCCTCACACCTAGGGAAATCCAACCAATTATCAAGCCAATCTAGGGCAAGAGGCCTTACAGACCAATCCTTAGTTGGCTTTTAATTCCAATCACCTCATATTACATATTGGGAAACTGAGGCAACATTCAGGGAAATGAGTTGCTCGAGGTTGGTGGGAGAATTGGCACTAGGAACCCAGTGCATCAGGAAGCACTTCCTGTGCAAGCTGGCTCTAAATAAGACTACTGGACGCAGGCTCACAGATTAGAGCTGGACAGTACCCTGGAGGTTATCTAGGCTAAACCCCTCATTTTACAGACGAGGAAAGTGAGGGCCAAAGAGGTTAGAGGCCCCAGTGCCATAAAGGGAGTAACCGGCAGAGCTGGGAATCAAACTTAGTTCCCATGACTCCAAATACAGCTCTCCAAGTTCAGTGCCTTGTCCACGGACACACATGTGACATGCCCAGAAGCCACAGGCTTCCCCGAGGAACTTACATAATCTTCGAACTTGGTGATCTCCTCCTCCAGGATGTCCGTGCCCACCTTGTCATCCTCTACCACACACTGGATCTGCAGCTTCCGAATGCCATAGCCCACAGGCACCAGCTTGGAGCCTCCCCAGACCAGTCCATCCAGCTGGATGGAACGGACACACTCCTCCAACTTTGCCATGTCGGTTTCATCATCCCACTTGGGAGAAATCAGGGAAAGGGTTAGCTGGGCCCTACAGGCCTGGCTAGAGTACCAAACCATTGTCATGCCCCCATGCCCCTGCCCCCAGGGTCTTATCATCACAAATGTGCCAAACTGTATGACCAAAACCAAACACGATTTTAGAGATAAAAAGGATATTATTGTTAAAAAAAAAAAACTTTTGCCAAAGAACATGGATTTCCATGCATCCTTATAAAAGCAAGGCTCCCCGTAGCTCCCCCCATGCCCCACCCCCACAAAGTAATCATCTTCCTTCTCATGAGGACAAATACTTTAGACTTCGAATCCACACTCTCATTTTACCCTCATACCAGCTGAAGAAGACTGTCACTGCTCTACAATTTACAGCAAAAAAGAAGGTTCAAAAAATAGATATGACTTGTCTAGGGTCACACAGCATTTCTGTGGCAGAGCTAGGGCTGAGAATCAGATCTCCTAGTGGGAAGACTTGCCTCCTAGCTCCTTTCCTTCCAACAGAGGGGGCGGTTCACAGAACATCATGTGAGAGTGCCAGGGTCCAAGCAACTCCTCCTGTTCTACTCCCTTCCTTCACCCAACCCCAGTCCCTACTCACAGGCTTGACATCTAGGAGGATGGAAGACTTTGCAATCAGCCCTGGCTTCTTGGCCTTCTTCTCTGCATACTGCCGAAGCCGTTCCTCCCGAAGCCTGGCTGCTTCCTTGTCTTCTTCCTCATCATCACTACCAAACAAGTCAATATCATCATCTTCCTCATCATCCTCTGCTGGGGTGGCCGCCTTCTTAGTGGGTGATGTGGTGGATAGCTCCACCTTCTGCATAGGGGATACATGCTGCCCAGGGAAAGGTGAACCAGAAGGTCAGAAATTCGGCTGGGCCCTGAGGGACAAACCTAAAGGTTCCTGGGAAGATGTTAATCCATGCAATAACTTTCTTCATCCCCATCTAAAGTCCATTTTTCCAGCCAGTGGCTGCTTCTTGTATCTGATCCTACTCCCCTGTCTCAGTCACCCCTCATCTTTGCACAATTCAATTCAATGCAACATACATTAAAGGAGACAGAGTTGCTTTAAAGAACACTAACAACAGAAAGGATGTCAAAGACAGCTTCAGAAAGCACCTGAGCCAAGCTGTGCAGGAAGAGAAAGACCAGAGAAGGTGAAAATGGGGGAGTATACTTGAGGCAGAGGGGAATGGTCTGGGTAAATGTATGGAGCCAACTGCTGAAAAGTATGAAAGGAAGAAGTGGGACACAAAACTAGAGGTTCGTAGGGCTTTGAACACCAGACTGAGGGAGGGAATGATATGGGCTCGATCACCAGGGCAGCTGTGTAAAGGACGGAGGTGAGAAAGAGGGGATTGGGGGCAATAAGGCATCTTCCAGAGGAGACGGAGGGAGGAATAGGAAAGAGAGAAGAATGTGTTCACTGAAGAGGTAGTTCTACATGCCAGGCCTTTAAAATACCTATTTAGTATTTAAAGAGGTATTTAAAATACCTCTGACTCTGGTGTGAAAAGAAAATTTTCTATCTTAACACATGCTTGTGTCTTTACATTTATCTGTGTCTACCTGTGTTATGTGTGCTTATCTAAAACATGGCTGAAGAATGTGGTAGGATGGCCAACCCAATGTCCACAAGCCTATGTACATGCTGGGACGGTTAAGGATGGAAAAACAGTTAAAAAGACTAAGAAGACTGTTCTAAGACCTAAGGGAGAAGGGGATGTGTGTGCATGTGCGTGCCTGTGTGCATTATATCTGTGCCATATACACCAGAGGCTTGGGCAGGTCAGATCAAGACTAGCTTCCAGTGCTGGGAGGTAAAGCTTCACCTGAGTCTGAGGAGCCAGGGAGCGATGAGAAGGGGAGCATTTCTCCAGGGTACACAGCCGGATTTCGAGCTTGGAGATGGTGAGCTGTAGGTCCTGAATCGCTGCAGAAGAAGAGGGAGTTACTGGGTGAGGGAATCCCCAAGCAATGTCGCTCAAGCAGGATGGGACCAAAGGGGCATGGCAGGCTTTCTTTACCCACAGGTCGTAGGTGTGCACTCACCACTTCGAAGGCTCTGGTTCTCTGCCTCTAGATTGGAAATCCTGGTGACCAGCTCACTATGGTCCCCGCTGGGACCACTGGAAGAGCTGGTGTTTGCGCTCTGTAACGAGAAACAGGGAAGGGGTCTAAGTTGTTGGGTCGGGAGTCTTTTAGGGCCACAGAGAAGCAGGGCGAGTGGGAAAAAGACTGAGGTTCAGGGACCCCAATCCATAAAGGGGAGTAGGGAAAGATGTGATGAAAGGAGATGATGATGTACAGAGGCAGAGGATCATGACAGGGGCAATTCATTTTAGTCTTCTGCTAGTTCACTGAGAACGAAGAGGCTCCTCTTAGTTCATATATTCTCTTCTACAAATCCCTTTCCTCTTCCCTCCCTAGCACCTCCCCCCCCCAAAAAAAACCCCAAAACAACCCAACCCTCTACAGGTCTTTTCTCTCCAAGCCTGGGAGCAGGATGCAAAAGGGCAGAGAGAGGGTGGACACCAGGTTCTGTTCCTACAGCTGCCCACAACTTGTCTGCCATCTCTGCCTTAGAATGAAAGGAGTGTGCCACTGCCCAGTCAGTCCTGGCCCCCACCACAGCAGAAGCCTCAGCTCAGCACAAAAAAGAGAAGCTCAGCTCCAGGCCCAGCATGCAGCTGACTGCCAAAGGAGGAAAGCTGCAGGAGCTGAGGAAGTGGGAGACAGAAAGGAAGGTACAGAAACTCCAATCTGAGGAGAGTCCACTACTGCCTTCCCAATTTTTACCAAAACAGATAGGTAGAGACTTGACCATCTATCATCTGGAGCTGGGAGCAAGGGGGACCTGGGTTCTCCATCCCATTATAGGTAGCAATGTGATCAATCGCTCAAATCTCTGGTTTCTCCTCTCAACGCACTCGGCATGTGACCTGGCTGAAGGGTGTCAGGAAACCATCTCACAACTATGGCCTCTTCATACAAAGTTTTAGTGATGTGACTAGTCAATCCTTGGCCCAGAATAGAAAATATAACCTCCATCTGGGTGACAGGACGGAAACAGGAGGAAAAAAAAAAACAAAAAAAGGGATCCCTGGTTTAGACCCTATTGCTTTGTACTAAGCCCCAGATCAGAGAAAGTTAGGGTCCCTGGCCTCCCTTTTCTTTTCAAAGCAAGCTGACAGACACAAAAGCCACAGAATAGGAAGCAAGGAAGTTGAGGATTTGAACTCTGGCCAATTTGGGGGCACAAGATCAGAAAAGCACCTGCCCCTTTAGGGGTACCAGGTTATGCACCATCCAGCAGAGTTCTGGGGCCACAGCGGCCTTGGCTTGTGTTCTCCCAGAGCTACTACCCTTGAGGGTGAGCAGGCCTCTCCCTTCCCTCCCCAGAAATGACTCAAAGGATCGAGTTCAGCCTGGCTCAGAGCCTCAGGGGGACTTTGCAGCACCATCCTGAGCTGGAAAGTGGGAGGGGAAAAAGATTCAAGGATGAGAGGTGCAGGGAAGAAAGCAAAGCAGAGGTTGCTGAGACAGACTCATACAGAAGAAGGTCAGGAAAGGCAAGGGAAGGGTGAGGGAAAGAGACCAAGACAAGCCTGGCCAATCACACACACTCGGAGCCACAGGCCGACAGCTGCTTAGAGCAGCCTGTCAGGCTCTTGACTCCCTAGGGCGAAAGTATCTGGTCAATACACACTCATGCAAATTCAGAGGCAGGGGCTGCTGTGCCCAGTTGAATGACTAGCCCCAAGGAATCCCATTGAACCATAACTTCCTCTCTGCCCAAACATTCCATTCTGGCTGACCACTTTTTCTTTTTTGGTAGCTAGCTACATGAAGCCATGGGAGTCCTGCTCTACCTTGGCCATTCCTCTAAGATATATACAGCAAGAGGGGAATGAGGGGTGGGCAGTGCATGACAAGGTAATCAATCACTGGGCCCCAGAGAATATCTAATGTCTACTCTGTCCCTTTTCTCATTCATGGAGATCATTCCTCTCCCCTATTCAAGGAAAGCCTCAAGGAGCAATCTTACTAACTACAGTCTCCCCCTGACAATGGTCCACAACATTATCACCACATTACTGAGAAATCTTCAATGGTTTTCCATTGCCTCTAGGGTAAATTTCAAACTCCTTTGCTTCAACCACCCATCTAGGAACAAATTCAACAAATATTGCTGTGATTTGTGTTCAGGGAAGGTAGGTCCATTGCTATAAGCCAGTTCTATCTCCTCTTACTCCCAACATAAGCCTTCTTTTGCAGACAGACTGATCTGTTTCTCTCTGAACACCACATTCACGTTTAGGTCATTCCATCCAGTAGAAAGGCCTTCCTCTGCTCTAGAGGTCCTGCCCATTCTTCTACAGGTCAAATCCATTCTCCTCCATGAGTCCCTCCATAACCTCTTGGCCTACAATGATCTCTTTCTCCTGAAACTCTTATTAAGCACTCTTTTTTAAAATAAAAAGGAAATAATTTATGAATAGAGACCAAATGAAATTCAGTTATAGCTAATTACACTTAAACTGTCCCCACCCCACTTCTGGCCTCAGAAATACCTTCACAAAGGGGCAGCTAGGTAGTGAAGTGGATAAAACCAGAGTCAGGAAGACCTGAGTTCAAATCTGGCCTCAGACACAATACTTACTAGCTGTGCGACTCTGAACAAGTCACTTAACCCCAATTGCCTTGCCAAAAACAAAACAAAACAAAACAAAAAACCTTTCACAATGCATGAATCCAGCTCTTTTCAGAAGCTACCACCTCTGAGAGAAATTTCTCCCTAAATACAGACTGCCATTATTGATGATAGATGATAACTAGGACTGGCCAAAGACTGCAAATATTGCTGAGCCATGGGGAGAGCTATGGTAGGAAAAGACACTTAGGCTCTTTTTTTACCATGAAAACTACAGCCAAAGGATGTAATTAAAAGGATCTTCTGAACTCCAAGGTGGTATGGTACTGTCATCTGCCTTCGCTTGAGTGTGATTTCACTGGTGCACATTAGCAACTCATCTGTAACAGATTCTTAAAGAGCTGCCTTGGGCATTGAAAGGTTAAGTGAGAGGCAAGGCTTGAACCTACTACTCATCCTGACTCCCAGGCTAGCTTTCTATAGCAGATGCTCTGCAGCTATGGACATGAGTGTGTGAGAGTACATTTGCGTCTGTTCTCTGGTCACTGTAACCTATGCAGGTCTGAAATTACTATGTGCATATACACACATATGTAATTATAGAGTTTTATATAGTTATACATCATACTTATATAGAAAACATATCAGGACAACCAAAAAACAAACACAGAAGAACAAGCTCAAAAGGATAGGTAGGATTTTAGTTTTACTTATACACAAACTATTTTTTTTTGAGCCTCACAATAATTCTGTGAAGGCAGGTGTTCTAGGTACTTTGCAGATAAGCAAGCTGAGGCTGGGGGAGGTTAAGTGACCTGCATCTCCTCTGTCCAAAGTGCTGTATGTTTTCAGCTCTGCCAGGCTGCCTTCTTCAGGCTGTTTCAGAGGTGGAGACAAGGGAGTGTATTCCACCCAAAGGGAAGGACATGAACGACAGTGAGGAGGAAGCAAGGTGAGAAGAACTACAAGTTGGCTTATTTGGCTGGAGCACAGATAGGAAGTAATGGGAAACAAAGCCCTGACAAGTAGATTCTAAGTCAATCAGAATTATTCTGGTAGGTTCCAAAGGGAAAAACCAGGTTCAATAAAATTTTCATAAATTTAGAGAAAAAATTAGGGAAAATCAGGGCTTTCCAAAAATGGAATGGATTGCCCTAGATTGGTACTTGTTAAGGAAGATGATTTAAAAGTGAATGCTGGAGAGGGGGCTCCTGCTCAGGTGGGACTAGATGACTTCTAAGACCTCCTCCAAATCTGAAATGATACGATTCAATGACTATAGCAAGCAGCATACCACAAAGGACTCTGGAATGACAGAATCATGAGTAAGAATTTAATCCAGTAGCCAGTGGGGAACTATTGAAGGCTTCTGGTAGAAGGAAAATTACTGAGTTTTATTTTTAAAAGGAAGGCTTTTTCTGATAGATTGTACAGAATAGGCTGGAAAGGAGAAGCTACTGCAATAACTTAGGAGGTGATGAATCCCTTGAACCACTGGGAGGTAAAAAGGGACATATCCTTGATGGGCTTAGCAACTATTTGAATGTTAGAGTGAGGACCGGGGAGATAGAGCTGACCCTGAAGTTACAAGTCTGGGTTACTAGAAGAAATTTGATTTTTACTTAGAGGCAGGTAGATGGCACAGTGGATTTAGTGCTGTGGATGGAGACACATAGTAGGCACTTAATAAATGCTTTTTTTTCTTTTACAATATTGGTTGATTTTTCATAGAAAGCACTTTGTGGTAAGATTTTAGTGTTTGTTGGGCAATGTCTTGAAGAATGCCCACAGTAAGTGGGCAGGAAGGGGAGGAGTCAGGGGAGAACACTAAACAACAGAGACATCAGAGAACTGGGACAGGGTAGCTGAAGGAAATTATTTTTTGGTTGACTGGGGGGGTGTTGAATTGAATTAATCTTATTTTTTTGAGGTTATGGGAATACTATGTGTAACTGTTTGCAGTGCCTTATTGTTCTTTTAGTTGGGGGAGGGAAGGAATTAGAGACTCAGTGATTAGGTTGGAATGTGAGTGGAATGCTCCATAATCCCCTGTGAGGCTACATTACCCAGTATAGATTCCGATAACCATTCTCTACTCCAGCCCCCAGGCATTCTCCCTCCCGATTAAAAAAAAAAAACAAACCACCCTCCCCCACCATTCTATTTTTAATGCTCTTTTTGGTTCTTACTCCTTTCTTTCTCAAGAAGTTCAGAACCTGCCTTATCATCTTCCTCTCCACCCTTGTTCTTATACTTTGGGTATTTCAATTTACATACTGAAATTTTGTTTCCCAGTTCCTCAAACTCCTCAGATCTCACAGCCTGCACTTCTATTCCCTTCAGCCATAGACAGGGATGGTCACAGACATAAGGATGGTAATAGCTAGGTGGCATAGGAGATAAAGCAGTAGGCCCAGAGTCAGGAAAATCCATTTCAGTGAGGTCTCATATACTAGCTGTGTGATCCAGGGCAAGTCTCTTAAATTCTGCCTGCCTACCTTTGCAGAGGTGTTGTGAGGATCTTATGAGATAATGATTGTAAAATGTTTACCACAGTGCCTGGCACATAGTAGGAGCTCATCTATTCCCTTCCCTCCCTTCCGATCTTGTCATCACTCACAAGGGATAACTTCCATAATCCATGACTCTGAAATTTATGTGAGCCTAACACCTTGCTACCCACCCTTTCAGCTGTCCTCTGGCCTCATTCCTTTTTTATATCTATTCTCTGTCCTCACTCAAAACTTCCAGTACTAGGGGCAGCTAGGTGTCGAAGTGGATAGAGCACCAGCCCGGGAGTCAGGAGGACCTGAGCTCAAATCTGGCCTCAGATACATAACACTCACTAGATGTGTGACCCTGGGCAAGTCATTTAACACCAACTGCCTCACCAAAAAGAAAAAAAACAAAACACAACAAAAAAAAACCCCTTCCAGTGCCTCAGTCACTCCTTTTCCCATTTCTCACCCATGCCCTGACCTTATTCTTCTCCCTTCAAAATCCTGATTCAACATTAATCAGTTCAACTTCACATCATCCTATACCTTTAAGTTCCTTTGCTCTCTGTTCAGCTGTCAAGCATTCCTTTCCAAACCCCAATCCTGGGTTACCCACCAGCCCATACCACTTTCTCTTAACTCCTAAATGTTCCACTGAATACAACTGTTCTGACCTGGTCCACTACAAAATGATGTTACAAATATCTATTGTCTGTCACTGCTGCAAACCAACCCTTTAACTCTTCCCTGCTCTACTCTTGATCTCACTGCCTACCATCTTTTCTCAGACTACCTGTACTTTCCTCTGCCCTCTCAGCCAAAGACCCTGCCCATGGTGAAATCTCTCCTCCTCAATTCTAGAATACAAATCACCTCCGAACCCGGCCCCCCCCCCCAGAGACTTCTTCCCTTGCTCCAGGCTCTCACCAATGACAATTATCTACTTGTAGCCTGATCACTGGGGGAGTTCATACCTTTGGATCATGCTCTCTCACTCTCTAATTCTCACACACACACCCCAGCCCCCTTTTCTATCCTTCCTTTCTGCTTACAAATAACCACATCTCCCCCATTCTTCAATAACCTTCACTCAATCCTGCTGTCCTTTTCCAGGTTTGTTACACATTACTCTCCTTCACACATTCTACTTTCCAGCCAAACTGAGCCTACCTCCTATTCCCTGTTCATGGCATCCCATCTCTTTATCTCTGTGCCTTTGTCCAGACTGTCCCCCTTGCTGGGATGCCCGACTTCTTCATCTCTGTCTCAGAGAGCTTCCTTCAAAGTTCAGCTCAAATACTGCCTCTTACAAGAAGCCTAATCTAATTTCCAAAGGCTGCTAGTGCCCTAGGGCCCCCTGGAAATCCCTCTGTATATATTTTATAACTTCTTGAAGGCAGGAAACGTTTGGTCTGTCTTTCTACCTCTAGTGGCTGGCACATAACAGGACCAAAGGATCACAGAATCGGAGATTTAGCCCTAGGAGGGACCTCTGAAGTCAGCTAGCTCCCTGGCCAGATCCTATCAGGGGAAGGGCAAAAATTGGGAGCAACACCAGGATGAAATGGGGGTGGAGGGAGAGGAAAACCCAAGATTCCAAAGGGATAATTTCTTAGCAGAAGTAGCAAAGGTCTAGACTTCTTTTGCTCCCTAAACAGTTCATGTTTGACTAGAAAGAGACCTCATTAAAAACCAAACACCTTTGAGAGGCAGTGGAATGAAGGATGATTCTTGAGCCAGAGAGCTTGTTTCTACATCTGTAAAGTGAGATGGGTGGTGGTGGGTGTCAGTCTAGATCAGTGGGGTCAAAGTCCTGAGTAAAATCAGAATCAGATTAAAATGTAACTGCGATATGTTTAACAAAATGAATAAAAATACAACATAGATGTTCATTTGTGGGGTTTTTTAAGTCAATGTGCAGCCTGCAGGCATTCTTTCTACTTGAGTTTGACACTACTGGACTAGCTTGACCTCCAAGGGTTCTTTTTGGCTCTTATGAGTATGAGGCTACATTTGAACTCTGTACTCCACACTTAAATACACACACACACACCCCACCACACATGCAGGTATCTGAAGAAAAGACAGCCTCCCTCCACCATGCGCCCCAAGATTATCATATTTAGGCCTCCCTCAAAGAAATTAAGAAGTAGACAATGAAGAATTAATTAAAATAAGGACACAGAAGATCCAGGACCTTGGTAAGGACTTTATGAAGCCTCTGGACAATCAGAAAAAAAGGGAGAAAAGGGAAGGCAAAGATTTGAAAAGACAGAGCCTTGTACCACCACAAGGGGATGCCTGATCACCATTTGTAAATTATCCATCCTCTATCCCAACAGGTTTATTTCTTCTCTTTGAACCAGTCATACCAGTTCCCAGCACCTGCCGCCTCATTACCACTTAAGGCCTTTTATTTATTCTTTTCCTGGTCTGGAAGGCCCATCCAGCCTTGTTCCATCTATCCAAATACTCTATCTTTCTGGGCTCAACTCACATCATTTCCTTCAAAAAGCCTATTCTCTTAACACCTAAGGACCACAAAATTGAGCTAGGGCAGACCTTGAAAAAAATGATCATCTATATTCCACCCCAAACCCCCAGATTACAGATAAGGGAACCAAATCAGCTGCCCAAGGTATACTACTTTGGAAATAATAACTAGAGTTGACATTTGAACCCAGGTCCCTCAAATTCAGTGCTCTTTCCATTGGCCCACTCCTGTTGGTTAGGAGATGGTGAGGAAAAATATATAACGGGTCAAGCATAAGCTTCAGATGGTCAGAGGAGCTCCTAGCTCTGGGAGAGGCAGAGAGTGGTCCCAGGCCTCCAGAACTACCCGGAGGCCACCCCAGGAGAAAAGACAGAATTTTAAAATACTTGTTTCTCAAAGTTTCCCCAATGAAAGAACTTTTAGTGTTTTCTCTGCTGAACATCTCCACCTGGATATCTTGCTGGTGCTTCAAGCTCAATACTTCTCAAACCAAAGTCATCATTTCCTCAATTAAACCTGCCCCTATGTCTGTTTCTTTTCAATAGAGCACTGGCATTACTTTTTACAACAGTTAACATTATTACAACAGCTAAATATTATTAATCTTGGGGCAGATACCTGTCAGATAAAGAAAACCCAGGATTCTGATAGCAGCTTTAGTCAGTCAGCTAGGGTTTCTTTTAGTTGTTCAGGGAGCAGTAACCTAAAGAATTTGATGCAGATACATGGAAAACAGACCTATGTGCAACTCCTTCTTTAAAAACTATTGCACATTCAGTACTCTAACCAGCCTGAACAACAGCAAGACAAGCTGAGACACCCTGTGTACCATTCTCTTCCTTGAAACTCTATGCCTTTCTACCCCAACCATGACGGGACCACATCCAAGACTCACTGAAGAAATAACTGATAAATAGCAGAGGGATGTCAAGTACACTGAAAACGAAAGCAGCAAATTATCACCCAATGACCCACACATCAGAAGAGGAAAGGAAAATAAGCCTCCTTTTCTAGGCCTCAAATTAAAAAACAGAACCAATTATCACCAGCAGGCTTGATCCCAAGACTGACTCAATAAATCCAATTTCCTCCTCTTTCTGGAGGTAGAAGGCACAGGAGGAAGAAGACAAAACCACAGAGAGGCAAGCAGCAATTTTCAGCCAAGAAAAGATGCCATCTTTTTTTTTTTTTTTTGCACACATCCTTCCTATGCAGGGAGGAGGCAGGAGAGAAAAGGTAGCAGCATTCTGCAGTGCCTTTGGGGAAGAATAGAGGGAAAGAGAAGGGGAGCCCAGCCCTGCAGGGAAGCAGCAGTAAGAGCCCAGAGCACACTCAGCCTAAGGCCTAAGTCATTAGGGAAACAAAGCCACACAACCAGTTAGGATAAGACTCAGAGAATGTGAAGAGAAAAATATTTCAAAGAGTCAGGGGGAAGGGTGAGGTATGAAGGGATCTGTGTGTGCATGTGAAAATTTAGTGTTTCAAATCCAGTTTGCTGCCTGGGGAAGTGGAGCTCCCCAGACATAAATATACCTCCTCTCTAACAGAGAATAGAAAATACTGCACCTTGTCCTTCCCTTTACTTCAAAAAAAAAAAAAAGTAATAATGATAAAAATATTTAAAACCAAGCTCCAACAGATGGTGGCAGAGGCCAGCCAGGTGGGCACGGGCGCACAAGAGGACGCCATAGGCAGCCAGCTGGTGCGAGCATAGGGTACTCACTCCGGCCAGCGATTTCTGGATATTCTCCCTGGCTCTGGCAATGTCACGGAGGATCACACTGGCGCCGTTCTCCTGCAAACAGTGCAGAAAGAACCAACATGTGTTTTTATTTGGGGGAAAAAAGTATAGATCTAAAACAGGGCATGAAAGTGTTATAGATAGAAACTGATTGGTGGAAAGAAGCAGGAGCCATGTGAGTTTTCTTTTTCTGGTTAGTTTCAAGGCCCTTTGCAAGCATTCAATGCTAGACAACATACTGGCCCTGATGCCTGGAGGACCAGGTGACAGCAGCTGCTGGACAGTGATTTTTCATCCTGTTCTTCCTGGTATGCCTATTGCCACATTCCTCCCACCCTGAACACCCCAGAGAGAGAAATTCCCAAGCTAGTTGGGGGGGAGTCTCAGTCATTTCTCCAATATTAAAACAATGACTGCTAGCAGGTAGAGAAGTCAAGCAGGGCCTCTCTGGCTCGCATGGCTCTAGGCCACAACTCAGCTCCTCACTGGTGGGGTCTATTCAATGGTGCTAGGCAATGGGCCAAAGGCCTGGGCCTATCTGCTGTCCCATAATCCACTTTCAAACCCCCTTCTGCGAGTGCCAACCAGCCATGTGTCTCATTAACCCAGCCAGCACCAGCCTACAACCTCTTTCTCTTCCCATAGCAGTGAGAACAAGCATTGAGGCTTGACTTGTGAGATCTACACCAGGCAAAGTGTGGGGATCTGCCCAATTAACTCCCAGGCCAGGTAACGTTCACAATAGTCCACAACCACCTAAGAGGGCCAGGGAGATGGCAGAATGCAGTAGTATGCTGAAGCAAAGCAAGGGCCAGGGCCCCTCCCATTCAGGAGCCACTTCTACAGCAGACTTGTCCAAAGGGAAGACTCCAGTATATTTGTGGCTGCAGTCAGTCCTTGTCTATCTGTGCTCCCCAGAGTCCCACGCTCACAAGTGAGATTTGCTTTGGCTAAGAACAGAATGCCATAGATTCCACTGAGCATTCATTAAGTTCCTACTGTGTACTTGTCAGGTGCTGGATGTAAGCAGCACTGCTGGGGCCAGCACAGTCCCTCCAGAGTCCAACCTGTCTCCCCAACAGAGCAGCCAGACATACAACTTGACGTGTCCTGCGTCTGGCACCAACACTTCTCTCCAGCTGGCCCAGGGATACCCCCATGGCTCAAGTCTGCTCCCCCAGTCCACTGCTGCCTCAGAAATCTGACTTATAGCTGTAAGATCACCTAGTCCAAATCATTTCACAGATGATAAAACTGTAGCCTTTACAGGGAAAATAACTTACCCAAAGTCACAGAGCGTTAAGCAGCAGGGGCCACTTCTGAAATCCTAGGGTTGCAAATCTCCCACCCCCAACAATGCCAAAACCATCTGGCAGGATGAGGATCAAGGAGCACCCTAAGGGCCTCTTGCCCTCTCCTCCCACAAAGCAGAAGATGGGGGATTGGTCTATAGTACAAAAGGGCACAGGAGGCTCTGCTCCCAATGCTTTAGCCTCCCTCTCCTTTTTAATCTCCTCCATCCCAGCTTCTGGCCCTGAGCTATTATACCTGTCGGGAGGGGACGGGCACAGGACCATTCATCTGCTCATAGAACTTTCTCTCTGCGTCATCATACTTGAATTTGTCAAACCAGATCTTCTCATGCACCAGGAAGCTGGTTGCCATCTTCCTGTAGAGGGAAAAAATAGGAAGAATGTCACACCTAGAGGTGACACCAGTTTACATGAATCTCCTGATATGAACAACCAGTGAGCTGCTCAGATCATAATAAGCTCCTCCATTTATTTCCATCCAAACTCTGAACCTAGCAAACTGCAGCCTCTTTCCCCCTCTTCATTCCACTCCACCTCTGCCGAGATATGGACCACACTAAGAAAAAGTTCTAAGCAATAAGAAAGTGCTGTCACAGGTTATTTGGAAGGTAGGGCTTCTCCAAAATGGCCTCACATCCTGATGCTTTTCTCAGACTCTTGAGCTGGAGAAGACCTCAAACATTATCCAGTCTAATCCACACTGGAACAGGATCCCTTTACAAGATCTCTGACAAGAAGCCACCCACTCTGGTAGCCCCACCCATTTTCAGGCAGCTACAGCAGGATAGCAAAGTCTTTCCACAACTTCCACACCTCACTGCTCTTGCCTCATGCCATGCAGAAGCTGCAATGTGATAGTCTTCTCTTTTCCAAGGTAAACATTACCAGGTCTCTTCAATGACCCCCCCCATCATATGGCATGGGGTCCAGTCCTCTCCCCTTTCCAGTGGCCCTTTCCTAGAAGCACTCCAGCCTATCAACACTCTTCTTTAAATGTGTCCCTTTTAACTGAACCCAACACTCCAGATCTGACTAGGGTAGAAGTCAGCAGATTACTACTGTCCTCCCTCCTTGTAGACACTGCGCTCCAGTCAGATGCTATTATGCGTGGGGACTGCTGTGTCAGCCTGATAACTTCTACTGCACCTGCCTACAAAACCTCTCCAGTTTTCTACTCGACTTAGGCCTCAGTGTTAGGGTGGGTTGGTAGACTTGTGAAGGGAAAGAAGAACCCTGCTTTTCTCTCATTTTTTCATCTTCCAAGTATCCCCTAAACCTGACCATCTCTGGGAAGGAAAGCTATGCCTAACTACATCAGAACGCCCACAAGTGACCAGAATGACTTCAATGGCATTTAATATTCCCTTCCTGTGGCTAGGGCAGTCTGGCCAGGCTGTCCTCATTCTTTAAACCCTTTCTCTGAATTCCCTATCCCAAGGTGAGTACAGAGTCAAGTGTGCTCCCCACAAGCCAACTTGCCTGCTGAGAGGTGTTTTCCTTCCCTTCCCACTGACGGACGCCACTGGTTGCTCTGGTAGGGAGTGGGGAAGACAAACAGGAGCCCTAGAAGAGAAGGAAACTTGTCTTCTAATACTGTCACAACCTTTCTGCTTACCTACCAGGCAGGTATAATGTCCCAACCCTGCCACTAACCAGATGGAAAAATTTGAGCAGATTTCTTTCCTTCTCTGGGCTTCAGTTTCATCCTCAGCATAAGGAGGGGGTCAGGAGAGATGAGAGCTGAACCACTCCCCACTCAAATACATCTAATTTCTAGAGACAGTTATTCTTGTCAACCAAGCCTACTGAATCTAGAAAGAAAAACTACACCCAACCACAACTGGAATGCCCTTAGGTGAATGGAATGGCCCCAGTGGCATTCTCAGTGCCCACTCATACTGACCTCTCTTCCTCTTGCTCTATCACTGCTCTTGACCTCAGTGAGTCCCCCTGCCCCTCCTCTACCTACACACACACACACACACACACACACACACACAGACATACCCCCACCCTTCCCCAAGTATTCTATTAAGTTTTATATAGAAAACAATGTCAGAGTATTTTGTTTGATTCTTCTTTCTTCTCCAATGTGCTATCATCAAATACAGTGAATTTTCCTTTTACGGCACCATACTTGGCAACCACCAGCCTAATCTAGGCCCTTTTGACTCAAGGCCTCAATTAGCACAATAACTCTCAGCTACCTCCCTGACTTTATACATTCCTCCACCAGTACTAAGCTTAACTTTGGTCTCATCACAGAATCAAAGAATCAAAGAATTTGGATGGGTCCACAGAGGTCATCAGCTTCAAACCCTGCTCAAAACACAAATGCTATCTGTGAGACAGGAGGATACTTATTACACTCAACCCTTAGGCTCCCCTGAGGCAGAAAAGGCATGTCATACTCCTGGCTCAAAACCCCTTAATGGCTCCCTGTTTTCTTCCATGTGTAGTCTAAGTGCTTCTACCTGGTTTCCTAAGCTCCTTACAGACTTACTGAACTTACGGAACTATTCCCCAACAAGAACCTGCCAGGCTCCAGAAGACTGGCCTCACCATCCTAGAACTAGACTATCCCTCTCAGTTTCTTGTCTGTCCCCGGTGTAACTATCCCTCTCCTAGATTCATTCCCATTCCATTTACAACTGCAAAGCTCAACTCAAGCCAAAAACTTCAACACTTACTGGGTCCAAACCAGCATCTTATCTCCTCCAAAACCTTTTGTGGCTGACTATTTCAACCCTTATTACTGTGCACAATACCTATAGCACAATTTAAGACTTAAAAAATTAATGATTACATCCTCAGAGAAGACTCAGAGTTCCCCAAGGGAAGACTTCTCTTAAGACCACAAACTATGTAAATGGAATTGAAAATACAGAAGTCTCTTAGGAAAGCCTGATGACTGATGTCCCCACCCCGCCATTCTCAGTGCTCTCAGAAACAGACATCACCAACCTCCCCCTGGGTAATCAAGATTTTAGATTCTGGTTATTATTTAAAGCAGAGGGAAATCTTACCTAGCCTCTTCTGTCAGCTTAAGAACTAGACTGCATTGGATGATCATGGGCAGCTCTGGGCCCGAGAACATTGTTACTGTTCCCCCAGTGTGTTTTATTCAAAACAAAACAAAACAGATTCTTACTTCTCCCGATAATCCACTCCTCCCATACTCCAGCTGCCCTTTTACTCCACTGAGAGGAACCAAAAGGTCTCCTTCCCCTGAGATACTGAGGTTAGAAAGCTGCCAGCCCAACAGTACAAAATCTGGCTGTTTTACTGTTCGGCAATCAAGTTTGGGTTGGAAAATACTGCTCAACAAATGCTGTCACCACCACTCAAAAGAACACAGAGGAAATTCATGAAGTCGCTCAGCTCAGAAGGCACAGGCATATAGAAAACATTACTATCTCTGTGGGTAAAGAAAAAAAAAAAAAGATTACACATGTGTCTGACTAGGGAAAAGGGATTTTAGAGCTTTTCCATCGAAGATTAGGAAGTTCTATGTTTTCCCCCAGCAGGACCTTAAGAGGTACTAAGGCATATTTGGTTTCTGACCTCACTTTTCCCTTCCAAGATGAGGTCTGGCCTCCCCACAGGAGCCTGCAGTAGGGGGCATGCACCTGGTTAACTTACCTGGGACTGCTGCCCTGCCAGAGCCCTTCTGTGCCAGCTAGAATTTAAGCTGGCACAGGACAAGGACCATGTAATCCTGAGCTTCCCCAACAGTGTCTATAGAAAATACTATTAAGGGAAAGGACTTCCAACCTCCCAGGACATCCTACTTCGACTTGATTTAAACCCACTGATTGTTTTTACTTGTTAATATATTTTGAGGCATAAATCATAGCAACTTTTTTGGGGGGGAACCCCAAAACTCTGAAACAAATTACAAAGCCAATAAAACACACAGGGCCCATAATATGTCTTAGTAATTCCTCATTCTCCCCACTATTGCTCTCCCTCTTTCAACCAACTTGGGTTAAAGTTTCTTAGAAATGAGATTCCTTGAGAGAAGGATGAGGAGAGAACAAGTCAAACCAGGGGCTGATGACCGCTCCCTACCCCCTATTCCGTGACTAAATTTCATCCAATACGAGTGGGACCTGGGGACATGTGAGAGAGGAAGGGGAGAAACTGTTACCATACAGTAAGCTTTTCCTACTTTGGTCTTGGTGTAGATGCTGAGGGGACAGCACGGGAAGCAGGCCGATGGGCAGGGACTGGCGAGACTGGAGGTGCTTCTGCTCGCCATGACATTCGGAGGGCCTCAGCAGCATGGTGGCGGGATTCAGCACTGTCATAAGTTGATTTGCTGAGCCATGGAGGTTCACCATCCTTGTGCAAGAAGTACCAGTAGGGCAAAGCAGGGTCCACTTCTTTGGAGAGCACAGGGTCTGCCCGCTTTGGACCAATACGTTTGCTTGTGTTATTTCTGCTTCGTCTATCTTTTCTTCCCCGCCGTGCTCCATCAGGTGGCCCACCTCGTTCCTGCAGCCTCACCTTCCCTGGTGGGTGGCCATCAAACATGGCTTCATAAAAACATCTCTCAGCATCATCATACTGGGGCTTTTCCAACCATACCTCCTGCATCATTGCTTGAAGACTAAAAAGCTGGGGTTTACCATTGGCTGGAGGGCTGGGCCAGCAGGCAGTGAAGGATGAGCCTCTAATGGGTGGCCCTGGGGTGGCAGGAGTAGTTACAGCTGTCATATACCCTTCATCTGGGGTGCCCCTCCCACTTGCCACACTTGAGTCCTGTGAAAGCTGTGGGGATGAGATGTCCAGGGAATGTGGTGGGGTGGACGCCTGCGTCCACTCCACAAATGCCATCTCAGCTCGGTCAAAATAGAACTTGTTAACCCAGACGCCACAAGCCATATGGTGGCAGGCCACATGGCTCCCGTGGGTGCAGGGTGCCGTCAGGGCCTTCCCTGGCTTGGATGCCACTGCTCGAGGAGCTGCCTTCTCTGTCCAGAATGCTGAGTGCATCTGAGTGGCTGTGGCTGCCTCCACGGGGACTAGGCCACGTGCAGCTACTGCATCTGCAAGCTTCTTGCGGTAGGATGTCTCTGCCTGGTCAAAAAGTGGCTTTTCAAACCAAACTGGGTCGGCTGACAGGCCCACTAGGGCCAGGTTGGCCTGGGATGAGTGGTTCTTGGGTGAACGCTTCCTCTTCTTTTGCTTCTTCCCGTTGTTGGCTTTCTTGGTGTCCCACCCGCTACTGTCCCCTGAATCATCCTGGCTGAGGCCATTCACCACCTCCTCTGGTTGCTGCTGGGCCTGGGCTGCAGCGGCCTGTGTGGCTTCCCGTTCGTAGAATAGCCGCTCTGCTTCATCATATTTATGCTTATCCTCCCAGACCGTCTCCAGCGGGCAGGAGGGCTTCCTTGTCCTCATCTTCTCAAGGAGGCAGCATTAAAAGGTAAGCACAAGAAGGTAGTTGCAACATAGCTGAACAAACCAAGGATACACGTTAAGACGTTTCTTTTGACAAGTTATTACGACCTCGTTACAAAGCTCTGGTAAGAGTAGATTAAAAAACAAACAAAACACAAAAAGAAATCCTTGCTTAATGGGCAAGGCATTTCTATCAAGGGGCCAGCTTTCTAAATGATTCTGAGTGGGCAGCTGGTAGCATACTTACAGATCTCACATATTAATTATTTAGCACACTGAGACCTGACTAATTCAGAGTAACAACGTTAGAGAGAAGGGAGGTCTGAATTAATGAACTCCTTGAGAAACAATTTTCTTTTAAAGAAATGAAGCCCAGGGGCTTTGGTAACAACTCACTAATAGGAAAGGATGATTCTTATTACACTAGTAACAGTAGGGAAGCCTAGAATGGTGAGGGTAGGCACCAAATTCAAGGTCACTGTCTGGCTGGGTTTCTGCGCATAGATGTGTATGTGTATACATATGTAGAGAGCCTGACCTTTTAGGTACAGGCTCAAAGCTCTGCTTGAGAATTAGCACCACCTTAAGAAACACGATGCTTTGTAACTGCAATCTCAGCAGAGGGAGCTTAACTTGACTAAAGGAAGCTCAAACTCTATTGCTGAGCCAGTCCACATTGGGTTAACTGCTTTCTCTCCAGTCAGACCGAGTTCTAAATAAAGAATAATAATGATCATCAGGCTAATAGGGGCATCCATACTGGTGGTAGTGGAATGAGGGCCAAGCTGGGATCTAAAGGTCCCGGGGCCACAGTCCTGACTTTTAACCATTGACTCCCTCTGACATCTTTGACTCAGTTTCCCTCTCTGGACATCAGGTTCTTCTAACAAATAAGCATTCTGGATTAGGTTCTTTTTAAGGTCATTTTCTTTTGGCTCTGACATTCCATGGTTCTATTTCAACAAGCTGCTACCACAAAAGATGTTGCTGGTACATGCAATTACTCACATAAATATACAATTTCCCAGAATGCTGACCTTACAAGTTGCTGAAATCTCTATTGCTGTGGCTGATTTCAGGTTGTAGGTTTTACCCAATTATTTGACCCTCTGAGACATTGTGAGGGGAAAGGGAGGCACTTTGGTAAAAGGTTGGATAGAAACATATTAAATCACCAAGTTCCTGCAACTATAAGGGGTCAAGCTGGAATAAGGAACTGACTTGCTTTGAAAGAATGTATCAGTAAGATGCTTTGGGAAACCAACTTGAATGAACTCCCACAGTGTGCAAGCTTTCTCTGCTAGGGGTGGCTTTTTTAATACCTTGAGAAGCTTAAGGTCAGTTTAAACATAACTTATACTTTGGGTAACTTTACAGAGCAGGCAAAAGTCATTCCTGAATTTAGCCATAACCCGCTACACCTGTTTCCTTTTAGGTCTCTGTGCCCATTTGCATGCTGTTTCCTGGGCCTTCTTTTTTGGAGAAATGCCTGGCACATGAGAGCCCTTGTTAAGAGCTGTTATTTCACATAAGTCTCTTGATGCTGTGATTGCCTGTTGACACTCTGAGGCTCCACTGAAGAGCCAGAGTAATAATACACTGATTTTCCTAAAACGTCAAGTCCTGCCAACCAAAGATGAACAATTCTTCAGAGAGAAGACACAGGGAGCTTGCAGAAAGCCATCTAGGTTGCCAGGCTGTTACAAGTTTAACCCTAAATACCCACTGCTATTTAGAATGTAGCTATCTTTTCCTTTTCCCATTTGTTCCCAATAAAGGGCAATGTCATCAGTGCCTCCATTTCCCCTGGAGGGAGGACAGCCCTTGAGTTCTGGAAAGAGCTCTTTTGTTATCCAAATCCAGAAGGCTTCCTAAACTTCAGATCACAATTTTTAGGAAGGGTGGCCCACTCCTATGTTTTAAAAAACTTGTTCTTAAATACGTGCAAGGAAGGGTCTTACTCAGAAACAGTAAGAAAAAAATGAAGGGAGTCAAAGAGAGAATGAAAGAATGAGAGGGAAGGAGAGATGGAGAAAAATAGATTGAGGGAGAAGAGAGGAAAGTAGCAAATGCTCACTGAGAAGGAATAGCTTCTTAACACTAGCAAGGATGAACTTAAGTCAACCAAGAACTAAAAACAAAACAAAATGAAAAAACTCAAAAAACAAAATTCCCCCAAAAGAAATGATTAGTTCTAAGCAAGCTCAAAGCCCCCTATCTCTCACTGATCTCTGGAGATCCTGGCACTCACCAATGTAAGGATGACAAGGACGGAGGAGGCAGCAGCAAGTGGCAGAGGGAATGTTGACCTTAGAAGCCTCCCCACCCCACAACAAGCCTAGAGCATTGTGATCCCACGAAGACAGTGACATCACCCTCTCACAGTCATAAAGCCAAAAGTCTAGCTCACTGTGGCTGGCCAAGGCAGACTCCTGGAAACTTGTTTATTCGGGGCCCATATAGCAGCATGAGCTGTAATGCCTTTCACTGTTAATTTGTACTCTTTTCTAAGGAGACCATAAGGCCTTAGGATCTCTCTGCACTTGTATTCTATATTTCACTTTTTCTAACTCTGCTTCATTGTTGGCTTTGGAACATTTGGGGGATGAGGATGTTTTGTAAAAGCCCCTAGATCCTATGGGATCAGGGCAAGGGATACGCACCCACGAGATAACAAAAAACAGTGGAACATCTTAAGGACCAACATGGGAAGGATATAGGTTTGAAATGTAATAGCCACTACAATGAAGGAATATAAAAAGATATATTCATATACACACATACAACTTCTTACTTCAAGAACTTATGACTGTCAGTATGTGTCCTTAAACCAATGATGCCAAATCATAGCTTCTTTGGGTGTTTGCAGACAGTTTCAGCTTACTGTGGTTAAAAAATTCAGCACCAGTAGTGGCCAACTTTCTGGTTATAAGCCTCTCCAGATTGGTAATAACTACAACAATGACCATCATGAAAAGGGGGCCTTATTCTGAAGACCTGCCCACCTTGAGAGGGCCAGCCAAATGTTTTCTCCTGGCAAAGCCTTTAAGAACTCAAGGTCACCTTCACAGGGTTCACAGAGGACATTGTAAGCCTAGAGCTACAGTCTCTGACCAAACGTTTGAGAACACAGCTGTTTGTAACCCTGGCAAAGGCCAGGGCTGGGCAGGGTCTATTCCAAAACTGTGACTTCTTTTTCTTTTAGAATTTGATTAAAAACAACTAAATGCATTAAATTGCATTAAGCTTCTATCAGAAACTGGAAACTAAACCAGACACCTGAGGGGATTTCCTGCTTTATGCTAAAAGGGCTGTTAGATCCCTGATGGTTTGTTAAACCACAAGAGGAAAATGTTGGTATTTTGATATATCCATGGATTCTTATTTGTAATTACAGTAACAACATGTTTTCAAGATGTACCCCCCAGGAGGAGGCACCCAAGGAGGACTAAGGATATATGATGCTAAAATGGGGAGGTGATTGGATTTCTGGCTGAGGACTACAGTGTGCCCATCTCTACTGGTCTTTAGGTGTGTTACCACATGGTACAGCAAGTTAGTCTGGGTAAGAGCCATGGAATAAGGAAACAGAGGCTCAGGCCCAAATATCTAGGCCCAAGGGCTGTATTATATTATGTAGGTAGATCAGTGAAAGAGGTAAATTTTTTGGTTTTGATTCTGCACTGAAGCAGCCAAAAGAGCTGGAGTACTAATTGTTTTTACCCCTCATCATAGCCTGAGGCAGCAAAGGTGGGCAGATTAGACCAGAAGATATAAACTTCAAAGTCAGGAAGGGAAAGGGAAGGGAAGGGAGGGGGTGTGAGAGGGATTCCCCAAGCCCCACCACGAGATTCAGCAAGGAAAAGGGGTTTAGGGCTGAGGACAATGCTTATTATGAGGGGGTGAAGCATGGCTCTTTTTCCATCCCTGCCTACCAAAAATGTTATCTGCAGTTTCACATCCAGAGCTTTTCAATTCAGCTGTTTGATTTTCTCCCTGCCAATAAACAGAATGCTGTACTAAAGCTGGTCCTACTTAAAAGCAGTTTTTAAGTGGAGAAAAACCAACTTAGGATAGACAATCCAGATTCTAAGATGCTGTGCCTTTTTTTTTTTTTAAGGGCATAAGAATTCTATGCCAGATTATCAGAAACAGCTTGAACATAGAAGTTCAAAGTTATCTTCTATTGTCCAAAGGCATTACTTTAATGAGTCAAATCTAGTCTTCATTCCATCTACAATTGTTATCCATGATATACAACTTCTCCTGAAGCTTATTTTATTGGGAGAATGACTCCAGGAATGAGGTAACAGCCACACACAAAAACATCAGAATGAATGAACTGTGATTAAAGACCAAGTTCTACTTCTATATACCCTTTGGAACCTTAATGTTGCTCCCCCAAAGAGGCTGCCTTCACTATGAATTCACCAGGAATCAGGCCCCTTACTCATGGAATCACAGAATGTTACAACTGGGAAGGATACAACCCCTCATTTTCCATGAAGGAGCAGAAGCACAAGGAGGGAAGTGCTTTGTCCGAGGTTCCACAATGAGTTAGTGGCAGAATACGGACTAGAATCCTGGTCTCTTTCCTACTAAACTGTGCCACCTCCTAGAAAGTACTCCTTCCAAGCATCCAGAGATAATTCACTAATTTAAAATGATGATAAACTCCTAGTAACTAGTCTCTTATCTTTTTTTTTAAATCTTAATTTCGGGATGGGAAGGAGGAAGGCAAATTTTAAGAAATCTGAGTTGGGGTCACTCTGGTTTCTTAGTTTACTATGGCACAAAAAACATAAGTTTAAAAAAGGGATTCCATCAAGCATAGATACCATGAGCCAACATCTAGGAGACAACAGGTAAGGCAAATACTTACTTTTAAGTTATACTCCTAGGGCAGCATGAAAAGAAAGCAGTAAGATTAGATATAGTCGGAAAGGTTAAATTCCCCAGAGACTGGTCATCAAGTAGGACATTCCACACAGCATAATCACAAGCTGTCCATGACCCACAAGACCCACATTCTTGGTATAGAGAAGCAAATGATGTTTTCAGAAGTCTTAAAAGAAATTATGCAAATACTTCCTAGTAGAAAGAAAGTGGCATCACTACCAGACAGCCCTGACCTCAGAACACCAGGTGTAAATTAAACTCCCTGACTGTTGAGGGCACAGTGTCATCATCCATTCCCAGCATTAATCAGAACTAAAATGGGCATAATTCAGCAAGAAAAAGAAAATCCATTTAACTCATAGATGGTTTTACATCTATTATTTTGTTTGAGATTCTGGGCAACTAGGTGAGGAAATCAGGCTAGAGATTATGATCTCCATTTTGCAAACAATGCAAATGACGCCCAAAGACGATAAACAACTGGCTTAAGGCCACAAGGCAATTAAGTGTCTGACCTGCTGCCTATAGCCACTATCTTTGAATAGGCTGGCACCAAGAAGACCGACCCTGACATGGTCTCATGTTACTGTGTTATATCACCAGTTACTCAAAAAACCAAGCAATCCTGAAGGTCTTCCCCACACAATGGAGTTCAGCAATGCTACCCTGAGCATCCTAGGACATCACCAGGACTCAGACTTCCCTTCTGGCAGCATGTCTACTACGGAAACACCCTGAGAACTGCCTACACGGTCATTTTAGTGAGCAACTGTTTTTAGTGGCAATTACAAATCTGCCCCCACCTTTTCCTGAAGCAGGAACAAGTCTGGTACCATCTGCTCCCAGAGGGAGCCAAAGACTCTTTCCAGGAAATAGTGGATTAATAATAATTACACCCTACATTCGCATATTGCTTAACTGTTTTTAAAGAGCTTCTACAAATATTTTCCCATTTGAGGCCTACAAGTAAAAAAAAGCGGATGGGGGTTAACCATTCTTGTTGGCCAGAAGGAAATGGAGGCTCAAAGTACTTTGACATGGCACAAGCTATCTTCAAGTGTTGGATGGAATGTCAAGGGGAAGACAGAGGGATTAGATTTGTTCTGTTTGGCTCCACAGAAGAAAATGGGGAGCAGTAAATAGATGGAAATAGTAAAAGCAAAGTTAAGGTAAAATACCTCAACACTTAAAGAGTTATCCAAGAGCAGAATGGGGGGAGGGGGGGAAGGACCTCCTCACTAGAGGTATTCAGGCAAACCCTGGACTGGCCTCTTGTTTGATGGTTGTGGAGAGGAGTCTTATTTGGCCACTGTAGACTAGATGGCCTGAGGTCTCTTCCAAGGGCGAGATTCTGTGATCAAAGTATAATTGGCAGAGTCAGAGCTACAACCCAGGTTTTCTGGCACCTAGTACACCATACCACAGTAGATGAAAACAGATGATTAAAAAAAAAACATTTTGGGGTTTTGAGAGGTTTGTGAACAGGAGGCAACTGGTCTAGAATGATTCTTAACATCAGTGGGGCACCAGTCCTGGGAATCCATTCTGTTTTTCCCTACAATAGCCTTGTCAGGTCTGAGCCAGGGCTCAATGACAGCTGGTCACACTGTTTGATGACAAGTTTTCTATGAGCATCCATGTTTCCAAGAGAGTATCTGCTGCCAAGAAATGCCCAAGACTGACACTTGGTCCCAAACCTATTAAAACACATCAAGGATTTAGCTGGGAAGGCTTGATGCTTTTCAACAAGAGTTTTTTAAAAATTAAAACACATTTACTTAGTTAGCTAGACTTTTATATAAAGTTGAGATTTGCTCCTCAACCTCCTATGACTTAATATACTAAAATAAAAGTTAACACAGAAAAGAGATAACCAATACATTAATGCTACCTTTACAAATATCAGACAGCCAAAAAAATACAACCCAGAGCCACACATTACCAGTGTTCTTGGCATGTACATAAATGTATACATTCTTAAATGTAAAATACAGATCCCATCCCCCTCCTTTTAAACTTCTAA